TACACTGTGATGAGAGTTAACAGACTACACTGTGGTGAGAGTTAAGACAACATTGTAGGAAAGGTTAACAGACAAAACTGTGGTGAGAGTTAAAAGACTACACTGTGTTGAGAGTGAACAGACAACGCTGTGGTGAGAGTTAACAGACAATATTGTAGGAAAGGTTAACAGACATAACTGTGATGAGAGTTAACAGACAACACTGTGGTGAGAGTTAACAGACTACACTGTGGTGAGAGTTAACAGACAACACTGTGATGAGAGTTAACAGACAACACTGTGGTGAGAGTTAACAGACAACACTGTAGTGAGAGTTAACAGACAACACTGTGGTGAAAGTTAACAGACTACACTGTGGTGAAAGTTAACAGACAACACTGTGGTGAGAATTAACAGACAACACTGTGGTGAGAGTTAACAGACACCACTGTGGTGAAAGTTAACAGACAACACTGTGGTGAAAGTTAACTGACAATACTGTGGTGAGAGTTAACAGACTACACTGTGGTGAGAGTTAACAGAGTACACTGTGGTGAGAGTTAACAGACAACACTGTGGTGAGAGTTAACAGACAACACTGTGGTGAGAGTTAACAGTCAACACTGCTCAACACCACAACTGCATCCAGCCCATACAAGCACGTACTGATCGCTACAAGGACAGCCCAGTCCCAACCATTGTAAAAATTATCAACAATCTAATTTTTTTGCACCGTTTCTATGTTGAAATGCCCTGTAGTATGACCTTCTTCCCACCTTTTTACTATATATCATATTTGTATCACTTATGTTACTTGTATATTATTATATTATTTTTCAATCAATTATCTATTCCCCAATCATGTAACTGTATATTTTCAGCCTTTTGGCTGCCATGTTGTTTCAATAAACTGTTAATAATTATTATCATTATTACACACACACACACACACACACACACACACACACACACACTAACCTAACTCAATAATGAATGAGGATGATGAGAGATAAAGGTGAGCGACCGCCCTGATGGGTCAAAGTGTCAAGGAGTTGGATATACTGCATTGATGACACCATGTAACTATAAGGCCCATAACCCACACCATACTGAGGCCCTTCAAGATAGACACTTGGCTCCTATCTATCTTTCCAAAGCTGTTGTGGATATCTATTGGTTCCCGTCTAACTATTTACCTTATCAATGTATCATCTACGAGTATCTCCCTCTCTCTCCTCTGTGTGGGGTGGATTCAAGGGCACAGGACACCACAAAGGACAGGTTACAAGAGGGGAGGTAACAAAGAGACAGAGACAAGTGCCAGACTCGTATGGGAAGCGACAGGAAAGAACCAAGAAAACAAAGGATACATACATATACATACATACATACATATATATATATATATATATATATATATATATATATATATATATATATATATATATATATATATATATATATATATATATATATATATATACATAACATTACATTACATTCATACATACATACACTCCTCTCGTCAACAAAGTGGGTTTTAACATACGAAAATTATCCACACTGCCTCGAATATATACAGGGTTGCTCATAAGTCGCTTTACCTGAGAATAATAATTTTGTACATAGGAACCTGATCTCGGTAAACCGATTTACGCACCACACTGTATAATGTTTCCTGTGGACTGTATGTAATTAACCATCACATTGTTCAGGTAATCATGAGGATTAGTTAACAAATTAGAAGATATATGTTAGTATGTGATAGACTTTAGAATATTATCAGCGAAGAGATGAGACTAACTATACCGCAAAGAGTAAGCCCGTTAACAGACAGTAAACCCATTAGCAGAAAGAACCCATTAACAAAGTAAACAGACGGTAAACCCGTTATCAGAGTAAAACCATTAAGAGAGTAAACCCATGAAAAGAGTGTAAACATTAACAGACAATAAATCCGTAACAGAGTATACCCGTTAACAGACAGTAAACTGGTTAACAGACAAACCCACTTGAAGAGTAAACCCGTTACCAGACTATAAACACATTAACAGAATAAACCCGTTAACTGAATAAACCCGTTCACAGAATATACTCATTAACAGACAGTAAACCCGTTAGTGGAGATAGTTCATTAACCTCTTGGGTGCTAGGGGTCTCTCTGTGCTGAATAGATTTGTCTGGCGTTAGCAAAATAAAATATTAAAAGTGACGTCGGCGTAGTGAAGGGGGTTAACAGAATAAACCCCTTAAAAAGAGTAAACCAATTAACAGACAACAGACCTGTTAACGGAGTAAATTCGTGCACAAATATTAAATTCGTTAGTCCTATGACCGTACGTGACTAAGGTGAGGGAAGTGAGGGAGATGACCTACTGTAGGTGAGGGAGATGAGGGAGGTGACTAAGGTGAGGAAAGTGAGGGAGATGACCTACTGTAGGTGAGGGAGGTGAGGGAGATGAGGGAGGTGACTAAGGTGAGGAAAGTGAGGGAGATGACCTACTGTAGGTGAGGGAGGTGAGGGAGATGACTAAGGTGAAGGAAGTGCAGGAGATAAGGGAGGTGACTAAGGTGAGAGAGGTGACTAAGGTGAGGGAAGTGAGGGAGATGACCTGCTGTAGGTGAGGGAGGTGAGGGAGATGGGGGAGGTGACTAAGGTGAGGAAAGTGAGGGAGATGACCTACTGTAGGTGAGGGAGGTGAGGGAGATGAGGGAGGTGACTAAGGTGAGGAAAGTGAGGGAGATGACCTACTGTAGGTGAGGGAGGTGAGGGAGATGAGGGAGGTGACTAAGGTGAGGAAAGTGAGGGAGATGACCTACTGTAGGTGAGGGACGTGAGGGAGATGACTAAGGTGAAGGAAGTGCAGGAGATAAGGGAGGTGACTAAGGTGAGAGAGGTGACTAAGTTGAGGGAAGTGAGGGAGGTGACTTACTGTAGGTGGGGGAAGTGAGGGAGGTGACTCAGGAGAGGAGAGTGAGGGAATTGACTCAGGTGAGACAAGTGAGGTAGGTGAGGGAGGTGACTCAGGTGAGGGAGGTGAGACAGGTGAGGGAGGTGAGAGGTGAACGTACGGGAGAACCAAAGTCCTCCGGCAGCCTCACTCACGTAGTAATTAGTGCCGCTCTCCTGAAAAAATTCCAGTTTCTTTTTTTTCTTTTTTTCGTTGAGTGAATTCATTGCGACCATTACTGCTGGAAGAGTTCATTAGAAAAGATATATCGGTTTTCATGACCCTCACTAAATATAAGAATAACTTTCTTTTCCATGGGCCTGGATTTTTTGGGGGAGGGACCCCGAATATACTAATGTAACAGCTGCTGTCATATAAAATTATTAGACGAGCAACACTTTCAAGGTGAAGTAGAGGAGGAGCCTTGGGAACACCTGGTGATGGGTTTGTTCTAGTTCACTTGAGTGATTCAACGGCATCGTTCACAGAGTCTTAGTCGCTACACTGTAGATGACAACTTTAAAAAAAAATATTGTTCTGTGTAGTTTTTAATTCTTGGGTGTTTTTGCTGTTGTTGTTATAATATATTTCAGCGTTTCAACAAATAAGACTTTCAATCACGTTTACTAAGTCGACAACTATCAAAACATTTACACACACTTCTCTCTTAAATGGAAGGATCTTGACGGCACTTTATTTTCCTTTGTACTGAACACAGAGGTTACGGTATTATTGAGCCAGCCTTAAAGACCAGAAGACTATCATAATACAGTAAGAGGAACAATCTTTAAGGTAAATATTATAACACGATATTGGTTTGATTTGTGTCTCACTCGTTCAGTGATCAGTAAATATATACTGTATAATATGAAGGTGAATTACTCGTACTTGTTATGGTAAGAGAGGTCCTCTAGCAGTCTTAACACAACGACATGCCACGTGAGACTTGAAAAAGGAAGACAAGAACAGTGCATTGTTGAAGATTAATCGGCTCGCTCTGTTGTGAATGACCTTCAAGTCTCTAAACCACAAAGCACATTAATAATACCGACTTACTTGTTTCACAGTGCTGAGAGTTATCTATTGTCAGACGCTGATGGGTATGATGTATTATGGAGTAAATGAAATCTGGCGCTTAGGATGATTCTCCCACAATAAGTCATCGTCACGTGCAGGTATGAGGGTGTTGGCGAGTGAGAGAGGATGGTGGTGGCTGAGAGGGGGTCTTGGCGAATGAGAGAGGGGGTTGGCGGGTGAAAGAGGGTATTGGTGGCTGAGAGAGGGTGATGGAGTTTGAGAGAGGGTGATGGTGGCCGAGAGAGGGCGATGGTGGCCGAGAGAGGGTGTTGGCGTCTGAGAGAGGGTGTTGGCGTCTGAGAGAGGGTGTTGGGGTCTGAGAGAGGGGTGTTCGTGGCTGAGAGACGGTGTTGGCGAGTGAAAGAGGGTGTTGGTGTCTGATAGAAGGTGTTGGCGGTTGATCTACTGGTTCTTACTGATGTTCTCTTCCTCACAGTCATGGAGAATATTGTACTGATATAGGACAACAGCGCCACGGGAGGATAAAAACAGTCGTCTTGGTAAGGTTAGTCAAGCTGTGAGGAAAAAACTTAACACAACGTCGACGCCAGATGGTGATGGCTCTTCGTTTTCTCTAACAACAGAGGAGTTAAAAATGGCATGACGGACGGAGTTTGTGAGGTTAGCGGTTGACTGTTGAACACGGGTGGCGCTACTTATTCAGGTAATTACACGTCTTAGTAATGTAGTTGGCAGGAGTGGTAGGTCTACATAGTTTGACTTGGTGTCTTTCTATAATAGTATGTTACGAAACTTAATTGCGAGATGCAATGATTTGGGCTTTCATTCTCTGTAGATTATGTTACCATGCACTACTGGATTGTGATAAATATGAATAGGGAGAATGACAACTATGCTTGTTTGCAGATCATAAAAAAAATAAAACACACGCGAGAGACTGGAACAACCAAGTGTTCTGAGAGATATACTTCCATTGTGTTAGCACTTAGACGCTAGGAGGAGAACACTGTCAGGTACAGGACATTCACTCACCATAAGGACAGAGGCACTGGAAGGTGTCACCGTCGTGGCCCTCTTGTATGTCAACACAGAGACCAGCATTGAGGCAGGGGTCGGCCACACAAGCGTTCATCTCCTCACAGTGGGTACCCATGTAACCCTCACAGCACTGACACTGAAAGTGTTCCTGTAACAACAATCACACCATTAATTACTATAACCTGATTTCGTGTTTCCATAACCTTAATATTAATTCTTATATCTTAAAGTGGCAGGTGGAGGAAGGTGAGTTTTCTTTACAATGTATAATTTGGCTGTTAAACTCTGAAAAGTTAAATTATATTATAACGCCGTAAAAAGTGGTACTCGCCATTTCCCTCTCATAGACCATCATCCCTCAATGTCTGAGTACACACAAATAAGTAACATCACTAAGAGAAAGAGGATGACGATAAATCTCCCTGCCATGAATGGATGTTGTATCATGGCTGTGTAGAAAAACAGAATTCGGATCACGTGAAATTAGGCACCCCTCATGTTTAAGCACCTTACTGCTAACTTAACTTAACATAACCTAATCTAACCTGTTCTATTCTAACTTGCCTAACCTAACCTAAATCCCAGGTGGCGTTAGGTTGTTTAATCATCAGGTGAAATAAACCTGGATACCTAATCCTCACCTGATGCCAGAATTTACAAGCTACAATAAAAACCTTGTAAAGTAAGTAAAGTGAAGTGAAGTGAAAATGCCTAGAGAAGGTACAAAGTAAAAACTAATCTTTTAACTGAAAAACAAGAAGACTGGGATTTGTTATTCACGAGAGATGGATGAATAAGAGAATGATGTATATGTATTATGTATTAAGGAGAGAATATTATCCATGGTGTGAGAGGTCATCAGGGTGTTGAGTGCCAGTAACAGCAGGTTGTTGTTGGCACTTGGTCACGGACACCTCATAATGGCCATCACCGACCCCTCCACTAGCTGTACTGTATGTGTGGAGTGTGTAGGTATTCGTAATTCCAATAATTCCTATGTTTCATTTTTACCAACAATTTTAACACGTACGCACGAAAACAGACATACATACTGTACATACATTATATTACATTACATAATATATTTTACATTACATGGCATACTGTACGTACATACATACATTATACTTACGTCCATCACTTCATTTGGCAATAATCAGGTGATCACTGTAGGCTGTGTGTGCACTGCACTACTGGTTCTTGGGACAGGAACTTCTCTATTATGAATGTGTGTATATATGTTGAACCTAAAGCGCGTGACGTCAGAAACGTTTTATACAGCTTGTGTAAATTTGCCGGGCACACAGTCTTGTACCTCCACTTTATTAAAAATATAATAAAACAGTAAATGTTTTAAAATATGAAAACGCTAATGTTTGTGCAGTGTCGAGTAATACTCAGGCTTTCCTTTTTTGTATGAGTTACCAAAAGATGTAAACAAAATAGTAATAATAAATAATAATTAATATTAATATTAATATTATTATTAATATTATTATTAATATTATTATTAATATTATTTCTAATATTATTACTAATATTATTACTATTATTATTACTATTACTATTATTATTACTATTATTATTACTATTATTATTAATTATTATTATTATTATTATTATTATTATTATTATTATTATTATTATTATTATTATTATTATTATTATTATTATTATTCATAATATTCATAATATTCATAATATTCATAATATTCATAATATTCATAATATTCATAATAATAATAATGATAATGATAATGATAATGATAATGATAATGATAATGATGATAATGATGATAATGATAATAATGATGATAATGATAATAATGATAATAATGATAATAATAATAATAATAATAATAATAATAATAATAATAATAATAATAATAATAATAATAATAATAATAATAATAATAATAATAATAATAATAATAATAATAATAATAATAATAATAATAATAATAATAATAATAATAATAATAATAATAATAATAATAATAATAATAATAATAATAATAATAATAATAATAATAATAATAATAATAATAATAATAATAATAATAATAATAATAATAATAATAATAATAATAATAATAATAATAATAATTAATAATAATAATAATAATAATAATAATAATAATAATAATAATAATAATAATAATAATAATAATAATAATTAATAATAATAATAATAATAATAATAATAATAATAATAATAATAATAATAATAATAATAATAATAATAATAATAATAATAATAATAATAATAATAATAATAATAATAATAATAATAATAATAATAATAATAACAATAACGCCCGGGCTAGGTGTAGGGCAAACAATTGCTTGAACCTAGTTGTATCCCATACAGGAGAGTACAAATGATACAAAGTGGTAAAATGATAAACCCTCGGCTCTGTACCACAATGGAGATGAATATTGGTCCTAAAAGTAATCCTGAGAGGAAAACAGACTGGGCCAAGTGTTGACTATGTCAAGACGATAAGAAGGATGAACTTAAATTTCCAAAGACTAACCCTATTAGAAGGAGAGGAAGATGGCTACAGCAAATTAGCTAAGAATATTCCTCTTTTCATCTCAATCAATGCCCTTCCAATAAGGGTTGATATGGAAAGACTAGATGATGGAGATGGTATTGCAGAAAAATTGAGGACAAATAATGCAATATCATGAGAGCTGTAGATTTAGGTTTAACTACATAATGTTGCAAAGAGCCCCCAAAAGAGCAACTACCTCTGTAGTTGACAGTGATGAAGGTTGCAGAAGTAAGGTACCATGAAAGCCAAGAGACACAAAAACCACAACAGAATGCTTTTTGTGAGACAAGCCAGCACCAGAGAGTGCTTTCAGACAAGCAATGACAATGAAACTCAATGACAGAGTCAGTGAATGTGCAAAGACACAAAGTGACAAAAGACTCCTTGCTAAATTTAGTGCAAGAGATGTAGTGGCACAAGAGATAAATATCACCCTGCTTGCTTAGCTGCGCTGTACAGGGTACAATAGAGAAAGAGCTTATCTTAGTGCGAAGGAATATGACAAAAAAGATACATATCCACTGCAGTGTCTTTCTCTGAATTGGTGACATACATCAATGAGACAAAAACTGCAAGTGAAGGTTCTAATCGAGCAAGTTTTAGACTAGCAAGCAGACTTAGTCTTACTGTACAAGCAAAGACTCGAACAACTTGGTGTTAAATTACCTGAACTTTATTCTACTGGACTTAAAGACCAATTGGTTTCATAGATTCCTCAACTGGAAACTCATAATCAAGGAAGAGATGTTTTGCTAGCATCCAAGAGGATGTAGGCTCCATCATGGCTGAGGTTGGCAAATACAGTGAAGCTGTTCATTTGGTCAAGGCTACAACAAAAATAAAACGGCAGGATATGCTCAAACACATGTCAAAATTCCAAAGCATACTTGATGATAGAAGTATTGAAAAGGCAGTTCCTTCACCACTTCTCCAATTCATATGTATAATTCATATGTATGATTGAACATGACGCAGCCGTTAAATCACAAATTCAGCGTGGAGCATCCAAGTCAGATCTTGCTATGGCACAGCTGTTGCAGTACAATTGTTTTGCTAAGTCCAACGAAGGAGCAGTCTCACAGACACTCCAAGGATCGCGAGACCCCATTTGCTGTGTATATTGCCATGTCTGTGTTTGCAAAGACTAGGAAAAGATTGCTTGTTAACATGCTCCATGAGCATGGTATTTGCATTTCCTATGATAGGGTTCTAGAAATATCTGTCCAACTTGGTGATGCTGTTGTTTCCCCAGTATGTAGAAGATGGAGTTGTGTGCCCACCTGTTTTGAAAAAGCATCTTTTACAATCCGCAGTAGACAACATTGATCATAACCCTACTGCAACTACAGCACACACATCTTTCCATGGTACCAGTATCTCTTTTTTCCAGCAACCAAGTTTTGACAATCATGGTGATGAACGTGAGCCACTTCATGTAGGAGCAGTTACAGTGAAGAAAGTTCCTAAACTTCCAGACTCTTTCATCTATGTTCCTCCAGCACACATCATAAAATATTCTCCACTGCCACCAAGCCAAACACAGCTATTACCAGCTCCTTACTCTATAAGACAAATGAGTGATGGATGAGTATACTTGGCTTGAGGAGGTTTCTCTGACTGAAGAAATATACAATGTTGTTTCTATAATATGGGCAGCCCATCATGCAGCACAAAAGAGAGGATCCCCCTTTGAAGTAAGCATCCCAGTACTTTTACCCAGAACTAGAGACGAAGCTCATTCTGTTGCAACAATCAAACGTGCTCTGGACAAAATTAGGGACACCGTGGCGTTTCCGAATCCTAGACAGACCCCAGTCATAGTTGTTGACCAGCCTCTTTATGTCCTAACAAAACAGATACAATGGCAGCACTGAAATCAATTGGAACTCTGCTTCAGGACAGTGGGTGGACCAGCTGCCTTGTAGAGGCAGGAGTGGCCTCATCTGGTACATCAGAGTGTTTCCTCTTGGCATCTAGTGACACAAGAACACGCCATGCACACCAGATTACTGCTTGTAGTCTGTACAAGCTTATGAAGGATGCATATAATGAGTACTGTTTAGGTGTGTCTAGAGATACATCTTTGAGATTTGAAGAGTGGTGTAACCAAAGGAAACCTGAAAGTCCACCGTTTCAATTCTGGAGCTTTGTCCTTGACATGGAGTTGACCGCATACTAATCCGATCATTCATTGTTTAAATAAGAATCGCTTTCACATATCTTATGAAAAGAGTTAAAAGTATGTGTAGAACCGTTACTTTATGCATAAAAGACATATCTGAGGGTTCCAAAACAATCATAATCTGTTCCAGCATGCTTTAAAACATAGGAAAACACACCTTATGTGCACAGATTGCCCATTAATAAGTCATAATATGTAAAGAAATAAGTTATCGGTTAGGCAAATTTGGTGGCCATCTTGGAATTTTGAATGTCCAATCAGAGATTTGATAAGTAACCCATATTGGATGTTCATACCAAATTTCATGCTTGTATGATCATTTGCATGATTGTACCTGTTACCCGCTCCGCTATATCCTGTTGTGTCATATTGTCTCAAACAAAATCGTAAAGTACATTTTGCAGCGAA